GGAACGACAACGTCAAGCCGACGAGCGACAGCGCAAAGTCGAGGAACAAAAACGGCTTGAGGAACAAAAGAGGCTTGATGAGGAGAGCAAGCAAGCTGAAACTCGTAAGCAGGCGGAGGAAGATCGGAGGCGATTCGAAGAGCAAAAGAGACTCGAGGAGGAGCGCAAGCGGGCTGAAGCTCAGAAGCAAGCCGAAGCTCAGAAGCAAGCCGAAAAGCAACGCGAACGCGAGGCGCAAAAGCGGATTGCGGATCAGCAAAAAATGGAAGTTGGCGAGCTGGAGAGACTCGAGCAACATCCCCAGGAAGAACTCAAGTTCGGGGAGATGCCCATCAAGGGAACCGCACATCGTTCAAGCTCGACCATTTCAACCATTCAGGCTCCAACCCCAGCCGCCCCGTCCTTTCTTATCGGAGCCAGGTTGAGAGATCAATTGGAGGAGGCCAATAGGAGAAGCTCGGAGCTGCAGACGCAAAGGTCCCAAGCTGGCAGACGGAATAGTCCTTTCACTATGACTCGGGATAATCTCTTACTGTGGAGAGGACGCTTGGTTGTGCCAAAGGGTACGTTGCGAATGAACGTCATCTATGATTGTCATCGCGGATACTCGCCTGTGCATCTTAGCAGAGAGAAAACGAAGGACCTGGTGTTTGATACGTATTGGTGGCAAGGCTTAATTGACGATGTAAGCCGTTTTGTTGACCACTGCGTTGATTGCCAACATCGAAGAGAGGAGCGGTATAGGCGGAAGGAAAGGGAACGCCAAAATCCTGAGCCACAAGGCACGGCCTCTGTTGGTCAACCGAGCAGTCAAATACTCCCCCCCAACGACAACAAACAGCAGTGCGATAACCCTAAGACTGCCAATAGCACAGGCCCATCAGAGAGCAATGGCCTTTTTCTCGCCAAACCCAATTTTCCTTCAACTTCTCACCCTCCCGACGCCGTTGTTTTGGTTCCGTCTGTCTCCAGAACAACCGAAATTCATCTACAGCGATCCTCACCTCATCCGTCTATCTCAGAAAAGACCGACATTCATGGACCGCGACCCTCACACCACCCGTCCGTCCTGTCTTCGGACGAGGAAGTCGCTGGGTTAAAAGACAAGATTTCCACACTCGAGAAGAAACTGGCGGACACTGAAGGGCAGCTTAAGGCGGCTGCCGTGATTCGGCCGCTCGAAAGAAGCATGAGCAAATTTCAATCGGATCTTAGCACTCTCCATGGAGACATGAACACCCTCTTCGACTCATTCCAGTCCATGGTGGACCTGATGACCCACATGCAGGAGGATGTCATATGTATCAAGGAGACTGCCCAAGGCAACCAGCAGCAACATGGTGGCATCGAAGAGCTCTCGCTATCCGTGGAGAATGTTAAGGAGAATGTCGCCTTGGTTCTGTGCGAACTCTCTGACATTCGGTTGCAACATCAGCAGCTGGAAAAGAAGGTCGTTGCAGCACCCTTCAGGGCTGCTCCCTCAAGAGACTCGGAAGCTCTAATGACTGCCCTGACTACCATCTCGCAAAAGGTCGACAGCTTGAACAATGAGATGGCCGATCTGAGAAAGGAAGGCCAAGTGCAGCGGGATATTGCGCCTCCAACTGCCGCGAACCCTAGCGACCTTAAAGATCTCATGGGTATCGTAAGGACGACCTATGATAACGTTGATATGCTCAAGAATGATGTGAGGGATTTGAAGGAGCAGCGTGCTCGAACGAATGACACATCCGCCGCATCGGGAAATATCAGTGGTTCCGTCGACGCCGAGCTTATCAAAGCACTGTTCGGGGAGCAGAAGGCTCTAATTCAGAGTCAGAACCAAAGACTGGACAGGATGGCAAAGGAGATTTCGAGCCTACAAACTCAGGTGTATGCTTCTGGCAGGACTCAGCCTCAGCCGAAGAACTTGAAGCAGGCCATGGCGGCTGCGGAGAAAGACTTGCAGCACCATCTCATCACGATGCAGAGTTACCGAAACAAGATGGCCGATCAAAGGAACCCACCATCGACTGTCTTAACGATGGCCGACATGTGTCAGACATTGGAAGCATGTATCCAGTATTCTAAGGCCGGACAAAAGTGATAACAACAACATCACTTACCGAAATGAAATTACGGCGGGGCCATATCCTTTTGTGGGCCATTACTGGAGGACTGGACTATCAATACATATTCACATTGTATTTTCGATGCCGGCAACTGCCTCGTGCTTTAGCAAGCAGACGAGCACTCCCGTGACGTCCGTTGGGGCCATGTAAACTGTTCCTTTTTACAACTAGCACGAACTATACAGCTGTGGACGAAAAGTGAACATCTTTTGGCCCGCACTTCCAGGCCTCCGTGCCATTCATGGTTACTCCCTAATAACAAGCGCGGAGACGCTGGACTGTAGTTTGCTGGCCCTGTTATGAACATGTCTTACGAGCTACTAAGAAGTTACCATGCCAGGCCGTGTCACACACCAAGCCAGGACGGACCAGAGAACGCATGCAGAACGCTCACGGTGAACGAAGTGCTCACGAAGTGAGCAAGTGAGCAAGTGAGCGAAGCATCACCAGTGAGCAGGCACGCATTAGATAGACCTATGGGGCTCGACAAGAGCATCCGGAGACAGATATCTCGCAGAGGGCGAGCAGGTATAAAGGAACTACGGGAGAACTCAGATTGTCAGATAGTTCGACAGTAGTCAACAGATCACAGTTACCACAATTGTTCATTGAGACCAGTATCACGCACATACTTGTTGTGAACCTTTTGGCTTCACCGAACCGCACTGATAGTTCTTACCCTTCAGCTATCTCATTTAGGCAGATCAGACTGCCGTTCGTCACAAATAGACGACATCACTGTTTACTAGTTTGCGCCATATGGGCTATGCTGAGTGCCGGCGTTCCATCAGGTCAGCCGGGCTACTTACGAGATCTCAAAGCGATCTTTGACAGCGAATGTTTCTTGGAAGCAACTAACAAGTTGGGACCAGCACACTTATGGGTGGATTTCTATGCGCTGGTGCCATGATATACGGTGATATTTATGAAGACAAATAGGACAAATGCTGACACAAGGGACAAAAACAACGTCTACTGCCAGGTGACACACAAACGGAGGGAGATATGGGCCCAATGAACTGAAACTGAAGCACCCGGGCAAGCAAGACAGCCGCCGCGATGATCAAGTCAACGTGAAGTCGAGGAACAGGCAACGTTCAGGTAAGTCAAATATTCGGTCTTGTATACGCAAGGCCTCATCCGCCTATCTCTTGAGGTGACAACTGGCACCTACACGCGGCCGTTCACTGCAAGACTCAAATGACACAAAGAACTTCATATCAACCCGAGAATCATTTATTCCTTTTGTGTCCTAGCTCAAAGGCTGGATAGCTCAAGAGAGAAGTCATCAGGAGACGAACGGGGATGGCTACAATGACGTCATAAGGGCCAGCTGGGGTCTGGGCCAATCGGCAGTGTTTGAACGGAGCCCCGACTGTTTTCTCGCTTGGGAACCTAGTCATTCTCTCCAGCTCACCAGTTGCCATTTCTGTTGGGAACAAATCTCTTTTCGGGTTTCCTTTTGGAGACCCAACTGTCGAATGTTATTTTTCCTTGATTTGAGATGTGTGGCGTGTTTTTTTCGTTTTGTTTACTGTTTTGAACGCCATCTCTGCTTTCCGGCGCCATCTCGTGTCTTCATCCTATTTATTCATTCTCTGCCCCTGCACCAGTGGCATCAAGAATTTTCAGGGTCCAAACCGAATCAACACCTCCCCACTACAACAGTTCTTGTGAGATGCTGACTCGCGCATGAAAGACCTCGAATAAACCCCCAGCACATATACCCACGGCGCCGACGAAGTTCACAAAGCAACAAGGATTAAGGCTTCAACCAATACCAGCACCAATTGCCACGATGGTAGACGACACCCTTCCACGTCTCATCTTCATCCGCATCTGCATCTTCCTCCTCCACTATGCGCCTCTCATCGAAACCGTCCTCCTTCTCACGGTCGTCACCCTCCGCTACCCTCCACCCACTTTAATACCCCATGCGGAGCAAATCGCATCCTTCATCCCTCCTCCGCTTTACAACACCTTCACCTCCCCCACCACAATCCTCCTCCTCGCAGCCCTCCTCACAACGGAATTCATCTACATCACAACCCTCTACCTCCCGCATAAGGCCAGCCTCAAACACGAAGCTGTCCACCCCCCGCTACCGCCACGAAAAGAGCGCGAAGAGCTCTTCGACAGAGCCCTAGACAGCACGACAGACTGGGACGAGTACCTGAAGCTCTGGTTCCTCGGATCTCCGGTGGAAGAAGTGAAGAGGGAGAACGTGCGGGAGTTTTTGCTCTGGGCGTTCTTTGACAGGGACGGGGAAGCCAAGGGGGACAATGATGATATTGCGGAAGAGCTGGAATCGTATTTGGTCAAGATCGAAGCTTTGCTCGGGAGGAAATTGCCGCCGGGAAGAGGAAGTGCTACGAGCCTCAGGCTGACGTTTGATGAGATTGAGACGAGGTATCGCAGTGTAGTGTGGTATGGGGTTATTGCTTTACTGGATTTGATCACGCATGCGGTGTTGGCTTGGGGCGGGTATAGACATTATCGGCCGGGGAGGCCGGGGAGGGAGAGGAGTTTGTGGGAGGGTCGGGAAAGGGGAGGGGCGGAAGGGGTGAAAGGAGCATCAGCGACAACAGGAGGAGCAGTAACGGCAAAAGCAACGACAGCAACCCTCTTCCCGCCACGCCTCCAACATTCCATCCCCTTAATTCCCCCCAGCTTCCGACATCACACCTCTCCCACCAAGCACCTAAGTTACTACCTCCGCCCGCACCGCTCACGCACCCAACCGCCTATGGTCTTTATCCACGGCATCGGTATTGGCCTCTGGAGCTACCTTCCTCTTCTCAACTCCCTCAAAATCTCAGCCTCCGAGGGTCTAGGTGGCGGAAAAGATGAAGAAGATGGACAAATAGGCATCCTAGCCGTTGAGCTTCTGCCAATCTCCTCCCGCTTGACAGGGTCAGGCCCCGAACTCCCAGCCGCGCTTGACCATGAGCAGTTCTTGCGGGAGTTTGAGGCTGTTCTGAAGTTCCACAGTACCGAAGAAGGAGATGGCCGGTTTCCGCTAGATAAAGGATTCACGCTCGTGACGCACTCATACGGGTCAACGTTGGTGGCACCCATATTGCGGTCTACCACGCAGTTTACCTCCTCCTCATCAGCAGACACAGACGCAGAAACAGGCACAGGACAGAGTCTCAGTCTGGCGTCCCTAACCAACACGCTTATCCTCACGGATCCAGTTTCGATATGTTTACATCTCCCCACGGTAGCATACAACTTTACGCGCCGCGCGCCGCGCACCGCAAACGAGTGGCAGTTGTGGTACTTTGCCAGCACGGATATCGGAATCGCGAGGGCTCTTGGGCGGGGGTTCTTCTGGAGAAGGAATATTCTTTGGAGGGAGGACATTAACGAATTCCTACTGAAAGGAAAAGGGGAAGGGGTAGGTGAGAGGAAGAAGGAGAGAAGAAGAAGAAGAAGGGTGGTGGTTTGTCTGGCGGGCAAAGATCTGATTGTTGATACCAAGAGCGTGAGGGCGTATCTGGGGTGGACTACGGATTATAAGGGGTGGTTGGATGAGGGTGTTGAATGGTTGGGAGGTAAAGGGAAGAAAGGACAGATTATGAGGAAACAGACGGGGAAGAATGGGAGTGGGATTGAGGTGCTGTGGTATCCGAGGCTGGATCATGCGCAGATGTTTGAGAACGAAGAGACGTTAAGGCCCGTTTTGGATGTTATTGGGGGGTGGGATCAAAGGGGAGATGGGGGAGGTCAGGAGAAGTAATGTCTTGATAACTGGTTACTAAAGGGAACAAAAACAAAACAAAAAGAAAACCGAAGGGTATATTGACTCGTTTCTCATAACCGCACCCGCACCCACATTCCTCGCTTCGCTAGATATCCAAACCCAAACAACCAAACAAACCAAAGAAAGAAGAATACACAAACTCACGCCCTAGAAGGCGGATACTCAGCCTTCCCCCTCCCCCATCCCTTCAGATGCACCTCAACCGGATGACTCCCGCTGCGAATAATCACCCAATGCGTATCTTGCTCCGCACTCTCGTTCAGAACCTGGTGTTCAGTCCAAGCCGGGACAGCAGCAAAGTCACCCTGGCTGAGCTCGTGTCGTTCTGGTTCGCTGTCTTCTTCGTCTTTGGATGCTGTCAAAAGCACGCCGCGGCCGAGGGCGACGTAGATGATGGCGTCTTGTTCGCCGTAGTGGCGGATTGTTGAGTAAGAAGTTGGGGAGAGGATGAGGACTGTTTTTCCGTGATTGTCAGAGATGGTCACTATATTTTCCCTATAAACAGCAATCCACGGAGCAAAAAGGCCCTGCTGCAACAACAACCACAACAACCACAACAACCACAACAACAACAAAATAAGATCGAGAATGGTACCTGTCGAGCAAACCTTATCCAACTTATTCACCACCGCGTCCCGACTGTACACACGCACTCTATGACTTCCTCCATTGGCCGTCGTAATGACCGGGGGTATTGGCGGGATTATGTCGATGGACTTGGTGATGGAGACGGATGAGGGAAGGATCATGGGAAGGATGTCGTCGATTATGGGGAGCAGGGAGGCCATGATGGCTAGAAATCCCGCCGGCATGTGAATGCCGTGCGAATGCGAAGTAATAGTGAGAAGAAGCGGAAAGTGGAGGGGGGGGTCTAGATGTTATTTGGGACGGGCTGTGCTGGGCAAGGCTTAAATGGGTGATGATGCATCGTGATTGCACCGTTGTGATATGCGCCGTGATGGAGTGTGGAGGGAACCCTTTTGGTAGGATGCCCGTGGTGATGGCATCCTGCATTATTGCTATTGTTAGAACAGTACCGCTGTAGGCAGCTGTGTCTGGGGTCACTAGTGTAGCACACTAACAGAAACTTCCTGCTGTCATCCCTGTAAGCCATGCGTCTGTGTCCCATTGATCACCAACAACAGCGGGCAATGCGGACAGAAGGTGGGGTAGCGGAGCGGCTAAGCACTAACAAGCAGAGACGCTAAAATCCCACGTCGTCACCATTTTTGAATGATTGAAAAAGAAGATCATGCCTTCCGTTTCCCTTACTTTAATCTGTTACACTCATCGCGACCGCAGTTTCAAATAATGACAGTCGTGTAACCTCGTGTCCAGTATTCCTCCTGCTTTTCATACCATCTCAATCCCTGATCTACTACGTAACTGTGAACTATGGAGGGCAATCCCGCAAACCAGTCGTGGCCAGCGCCATGGCATCACATCCTGCCGTCGCCCTCGCAGCAGCAGCAGCAGCAGACAGACAATGCAGCAGCAGCCGCCGATGTCGACCCCCATCACCATCAGACGCCTCGGATACACGCAGAACAACCGCTGGACTTGGACGCTTACACTACCACCGAAAGCCAGTCCTTCTACTCGGGTACAGATGCCGATTCCGACCGTGTGGCTGAATACATGGCGTCGCAACAACAACGTTGGCATCCCTTCTCTTCCCTCCTCTCTGTACTTGGTAGAATCCATACTGACGAGAGGGACATGGTCACAGATAAAGATGAGAACTTCCCCGCACAAACAAGTCCCCTTGTCCATCTTCCTCTCGAACTGCTAGACAGCGTCTTGGACCACCTCTCCGCCATTGACCTGGTCGCTGTCTCAGCCACATGCCGTCATCTACGCACCGTCGCCAATTCCGAGTTCCGCTGGCAAGGCCTCGTTCAAGAAAATGTGCCCTGCTACCGAGTAACCTCGTGCTACCCCTACAACTCGTTCCGCCAACTCTACAAAGCCCACGACCCGCGCTGGTTTCTTCCCAAATACAAGATATGGTTCGCCGACGACAGCCTCTACGGCCGTCTGATCATCGCCCGCTTTGACCAGCGCCGTGGCTGCATCGAGGGTTACCAGCTAGTCGCCTCGGTGCCTAACGACCTCTGGGACGATGACGTCCTCGACAACGGCACCATGATCCGCAAGCACGACTTCCGCGTCGGTCTGCACCTGGACCAGCCCGTCTTCCAACTCGATCCCGAGAACGAGTCCCCAGAAAGCGACAACGCCATGGTCCGTCACTGGCAAGACCTCGACTTCGTCCGCTATAAAAACGACCCCGCCAAACCCAAACCGCACTTCAAAGTCGAAGTCCGCGCTCAGGGAGGCTCCTCCATCTCGGCCGGCTCCCGCAGCCGCTCCTTCCACACCAACTTCTTCCTCGCCAAAGCCCAGCCCCTGCGCAACGCCATCCATGACGCCGAAGACCTCATGGACTCCCACGATGTGCGCGATCTGCTCCATCCGGACCTCAGCCGCTCCCTTTCCCCACGGAACTATCTCATCCGCAGCACCATTCCGGGCGTCGGGGGCGGTGGTCATGGTCTTCGCACCGCCGTGCCTCATGGCCTGATGAACACCATCCTGCGCGACAAGTACTGGCCGCCGCCGACCATCGAGGCGCCGCACAGGGTAGCCAACGTCGGACCTGTGGGTGTCAACGAGGGGTATAACGCCGAGGCGACGTCCAAGATTCTGCAGAACCCGCCTGCTGCGCGGGTAGAGATCAGCGATCATGCGTTTCACTTGAGGAGGTGGGTGGAGTTTGGACGGGTGATGAGGGCGCATATTGGCGAGGAGCTGGTGACGTATTCGACGCTAGATGCGAAACTATACACGCCCACGCCTGAGAAGCCGTACAGGGGCATTTTCGTCGGGCATTATGGGCCGCATGGGTGCGAGTTTATCTTGATGCATCAGCCTGATGATGGTGAGGCGGCGGAGACTGTTCAAAGGAAAGAGGATGAGACAGATGAGGAGTTTACGAGGAGGAATCAGGAGGCTAAGGTGTATAGGGGTGGGTTGGCGGGGATTAAACTTACTGGTGATCCGAATGTGCCTAGGGGAGAATACACATTTGTTGCGAAGGATATTGGAGATGAAGGGTTCGTGAAGGTTGCGGAGGAGGAGGAGTTCGCCGGGGCGAGGGTGGTCAAGGCTAAGGGACATGTGGCTGAACATAACTTTCGGGATGGTGAGTTATCTTTCTTTCGTTACCCATTTATAATTCTTCTGTCGCAAAAGTACTAACCATCATTACAGACGACTGGATAGACTGCGACCTCTTCCTCGCCTCTCACAACCGCCTCGCTCTCCACTGGCACCGCTGGGATATGACGAGCGTTTTTGAAAGGGTCGATATCGACAAGTTTATCGTTCCTGAGTAAGTACGTTTCGCGCGTTACCAGCCATGATTACGTCTTGTGCTTTTGAAGCATTTTCGTTGTTTCCCTGTTAAGACGACACGGTAATGACTCTACGCCCTACGGGGCGATGGTAGGCTGTATGATGGGCCTTGGTTTATGTTGTGATGCCATGTCGATGGCGGTTTTATGACAGTTTGATGGGGGAAAAGTTTGGAGTTTGAGGGTTATGATTATGAATAGGTCATGGGTTCCAGGGAAGAACAACAGGACTGGCGACTTTATGGAGGAAATGGGCTTATGATGGATGAACTTGGTACATACTTTGGTGCACGGCGTTGGGGTTTCTTGGTCTTTTGTCCGTTCGTTACATATAGCACTGGAGTGAGTATATAAGTCTGGATTAACAGTTAACACACAACGCGGTGATATCTATAAGTCGATTCTGGTTGTGTTTTGCACCGCTCGGTATATATGTTATAGGGCTTCCCAGTTACCAGTGACTTGGGGGAATACCATATGATGAAAATGATGTATGTTGTCGTGCTCTTCATATCCGTTGTCGTGATATTCAACCATGCCGCCGACTTCCGTAGACCGTTAACACCGGTCACCGATAACCGGCCTGGGCCCCTATCTTATCAGCCCCTTGATCCCCAGACCCAGCGGTCATGGCTGCCAAGGCCAGCACATGCCTGCCCCGACGTCAGGCGGATGAGAGCGGAACAAACAGCCCAGCGGATGCAACGCTATCAAAAGATGCGCCCTCCGCCCAATGGATCCCCCTGACGTCAAGCGATCCTCCCATCAACGGCAATTGACGGGTCAAGAACATTTCTCAAACACCTTGCTGGCCAGCTGCACTACCTACCCAGGCTACCTACCAGCCATGCATGCCCTTCTGATTCCCATTACCCAACGCCATGCGATGCAGGTACACTTCTTGACCGACTGACTGGTTGCACAAAAGTCGGGAACGCGTACGAGCTGCGTGTCTTGTTGAAAGTGGTTGGATTGTCGGGAACTCGTGACCATTTTGTTGGCTTGTTTGTTTTCGTACTTACGGCGGTGTGGTAACGATAATGTAAGTAGAGTAAACAGGTGGTGGAAAAGGAGGATAAGAAAGGGTTCTGGGAAAGTCTAGAACTCTGGGGAAAAGGAGTGGTGATCTCAGCTTGTCGGGTGTTATCTGGATGGGACCTGCTCCCCGTCACTTATACAAGTACTTCCTCTTCCAACTTGTTGGGTGTGCTACCTACCTGCGGGACTCTTCACTTTTTTCCTCTTCACTTCTTTTTTGTTTACGAGCTGTTCCATTCATTTGCGAACAATTAGGTGCTTCGCCATCACCGTCGTCGTCGCCGAGATTTACACGTCCGGTACTCGGTGACTAACAGACCGAACGGAAGGTCACGGCACTCGGACGAAAAACAGATGATATAATAGACAACAAGACGACAAGATATCTGATTTTTCACAAAGATACCCGACCGACCCCGACATCGACATCGACACCTGACATATCCAGCACAGACAGCTGCACAACCTGCTTGCAGCACACCTCGCACGCAATGGCATCTGCACGGCCTGCCACCCGCCTCGCAGGTGACGTCCTTCTCCGATTTACACCTCGCCGACCTACATCATTATTACTACCTACATCACAACCACAACTAACGACAATAAAAACTGTCTCGTCCTCATGTCGATCTTTCACGATACGTACCCGCTACATTCACGACCATGCCTTTATCACTCCTACTCCGCAACCGAACCCAACGCCGAAACCGCCAAAACATGACGGTCTTCCAAAGCAGCAACAACGACAAGCGCGCGCCGCGCCCACTAGCCTGGCCGTAGGCGCTGGCGTTGCTCTTTTAGCTTCGTATCTCTACAACCGTGATCGCGACCATGACAGCAAGAGCAAGACCAAGCCCAAGCTTAACCGCGACGATCGAGAACGAGCGAAAGATCCAGATAAAGAACCACCACCTCCTCCTCCGTCTCCAGAAACCTTCCAACATACCAACGATGCCACAAACAACCAAGACACCCGCGAACCCCTCTCCCTCCCACGCTTCCACCTCTCCGAAATCCGCTCTGCCCACTGCTCCACCTCCGATTCCCCATGGGTCACCTACAACGACAAAGTCTACGACATAACAGACTGGGTCGGCGCGCACCCCGGCGGCGACGTGATCCTACGGGCCGCTGGAGGGCCCATCGAGCCATACTGGGACATTTTCTCGATTCACAAGAACTCGCCCCACGTTCGCGAAATCCTGGAGCAATACTGTATCGGCTACATACACATGGACGACCTGGATCCGAAGACGACAAAGCCCAAGATGGAGGAGATCGAGGATCCGTTTGCGCAAGACCCGCAGAGGGATAGCAGGTTGGTGACGCATACGGCTAAGCCGCGGAATGCGGAGACGCCTAGTGAACTTGTGGCCTCCGGCGAGGGGGGTTTCTTGACGGATCAAGGGCTTTTCTATGTGAGGCATCATATGTGGGTGCCTGTTGTTGATGACCTGGTTAAAGAAGAGAAAGAGGTGTTGAGCGTTGAATTACCTGACGGGGAAACGCGAGGGTACACGCTAAGGGAACTGAAAGAGAGGTTTCAGAGACATAAAGTTACGGCGACGCTGCAGTGCTCGGGTAACAGACGGAATGACATGACGAGACATACTGGCAAGACGAACGGGTTGCAATGGGGTGTGGGAGCGATCAGCAATGCGGAGTGGGAGGGGGTTTTGTTGAGGGATGTGTTGAGGGATGCTGGATTGAAGGTTAAGGATCCTTCTACGGCTACCGCTGTTGTCCAACACGCTTCCACCACCTCCTCCGCCTCCAACGAAGAAGAAGACCCCCTCCCCTCCCAAAAAGACCTCCACGTCCAATTCTCCGCCCTCGAAGCCTACGGCGCCTCCATCCCCCTCACCAAAGCCCTCGATCCCACCGGTGACGTCCTCCTTGCCTTCGGCATGAACGGTTCCGCCTTACCCCGCGACCACGGATACCCCTTGAGAGCCATCGTCCCGGGTCATGTAGCTGCTCGTTCGGTCAAGTGGCTCAACAAGATTGTTGTGAGCGATGAGGAAAGTTTGAGTCAGTGGCAACGAAGAGATTATAAAAGCTTTGGACCGAACGAGGGCGCGAATCCGGATTGGGACAGGGCGAAGAGCATACAGGAGATGCCGGTTACCAGTGCTATTACGGGGGTTTGGGTGGGTAGTGATTGTTTGAGGAGTAAGAACAAGCAGGAGAAGGGGGTAGGGCAGAAGACGGTCGATTTGGCGGGTGTGGATGGGCTGAAGGTTGGGTGTACTAAGACTACCACCACCACTGCTACCCCTTCATCATCCCAACCCTCATCCCCCACTACCGAAAGCAACGGCAAAATCCCCATCGCAATGCAAGGCTACGCCTACTCAGGCGGCGGCCGCGCCATCGCTCGCGTGGACGTCTCCCTCGACAACGGCCGAACATGGGACCAAGCCGAGTTAATCGACGACTGCAGCAACCCCGCGACTCCTTGCTACGGGAACAAGACGTGGACTTGGAAGCGGTGGAAGTATTATTCCCACCTGCCGCCCTCTGTCCTTCCCTCTTCACTCCCCTCCACCAGCGCCTCCCCCAAAAATGAGGGAGAGGGAAAGAAGGAAGAAAACAAAAACTGCACAACCCTAATAGTAAAAGCCGTCGACGAAGCTTACAACACCCAACCCGAGTCTCACGCCGGTATCTACAACGTGCGAGGAAACCTGGCCACGGCCTGGCATCGCGTTAGGATTTGTCCGCAGTGCGTGGCTTGTCCTGATGGTGCAGGTGGAGGGAAAGGAGTTAAGTGGATGACGGGCAAGGTGATTGGGTGTGGGTTTGAGAAGGAAGTGGAGGAGGCTAGGGAGAGGAAGATTGATGAGGGGAAGAAGAAGGAGGGGAAGGAGGGGAAGGAGGGGAAGGAGGGTGAGGTGAAAGAGGGGAATGCGGTTGGGACTGCTGCTGGGAGGCCGGGGAAGTAAGTTGGTGATTTGTGGAATATAGATATAGGGGATGGGATATGATGGGATGGGATATGCTGGGATGGGATGGGATGGGATGCATTGGATAATCCGGACATCAAGCACAATTGCTGGTAGAGAGAGAGAGGCAGGCGTTCCTGTTGCTGTTGCTTGGTCTCATATGGATGAGACGGATTATGACCATGGGGTATGTCATCAGAAGAAGGCATCAAGACAGCATAAAGACAGAATAAGGAGGGGGAAGTGACAGACAGGACTAGAGGACTAGGAGACAAGACAGCTTCTACTAAAGAGTGCAGACTCCGGTATCGAATGATCATAGCATATTTTGCATAGCATGGTTATTAATATTTTTTAACCCCCATCAACAACAACGAACTACAAATAGCACTGCGCGGTTAACGGTGACGGTGACGGTGACGAATGTTGATTTTCAACGTATGTCGGCGGCATTCTGAACATCACATCACATCACAACACAACAAGCCTACGGCACGTCATCAAGCAAGAAGGTTAAAAAAAGCAATAACTGATTGTCTAAAACGAGGAAGGAAAAACCAAAGTACAAAAGATACAACCAAGAGCCGAGAAGCACCAGATAAACAAAACGAAACCATTGATCCAAACCGACAAGACGCCATCCGATATCCAAGATTAAAACCCCAAGAAATTCCTTCCACAAGCCCACTACCTACCCAATACTGCCAGGATAACTCCTCGCCAAAGCCTCTAGATCCTCAGCCGTCACCCTTCCCGGCGGCGGCAGTGGTCCCTGCCTTTCCTTCCCCTTCCTCCTATTCCTCCTCAACCGTTCTTCAGCCTCCTTCTGCTCCTTCATGAATTTAGCCTGCTTGACATACTCCTCTCCGTACTCTTCCCCTTCTTCTTCGTCCTCGTCTTCGTACTCCTCGTCCTCCTTATCACCATAACCCCCAGCCTCATAATCATCCCCCTGGTAATTATCCTCCGAAAAATCAACATAATCTTCCTCAAAACCAGCTACCTTTACCCCACTGTGAGTATTACTAGCAGCTACCGCCTCCCTTCCCTTGCCCTTCGGTCCCTTCTTGCTATACGAACTAGCAGCCTCAGCCTGCAACCTCTGCACCCTCTCAAACTCCGTTTCCAGATCCTCTGCAGCCTCTTTCACCTCCCTCTTCCTCTTCTCCCTTTCTCCTTTTTTGCGTTCACTCTCCCTCAACAACCCCTCTTCATACTCAATCTGCGCCACCAAATCTTCCATCTCCCCCTTCATTTTCCGCTGATATCGTTCGACGGCGTACGCATACGACTCGTCATCTTCCTTTTCTTGCGCGTCTACCTGTTTCTGCAAAGCGGCCCACGGAGAACCAGGGTGCACAGGCGCCGAGGGGTCCGCGCCCGTGTAGGCGTCGCGCAGCATGCGCTGTTCGCGGGCTCGAGCGACGGAGGGGTGATCGAAATCTATGCGTTGTGGGGGACGGGGGTAGGGGTTTGTTTGGAGGTTGTGCAGGCGGGCGCGGAGGTGGGAGATGTGGGCGATGCGCTCGGTGGTGTGAGAGTCGGAGCGGGAATGGGATTGGGAAGAAGAAGTGGTAAGGGATGACGATTGGAGAGGGCCAGGCGAGGTGCCCTTGCCGAAGAGGCGGGGGTTGGGGGAGAGAGAGACTTTGGGGCGATTTATGCTACGGCCGCGAGAACGGGTTTTGTGTGGTGATGACAAGGAAGTGTTACTGGTGGTGTTGCTGAATTTGGACCCGGAGCCGGAGGGTAGTTGATACATTTTGGCCATTAAACCTCTGCTTCGGGTGCCGGTGGTGTTAGTGTTGGGGGAGTCAGGCGCGGGGATGACTTTGACTTTGACTTTCATTGCTTGGAGGGCGGGAGGGTTAGCCGGAGGTCCTTCTTCTTCTTCTTCGTCTTGGTCTAGGGCGGTGGGCGCGCTCACGGGAATTTGTGCTTCTTCCACCTCTTCATCCTCATCTTCATCGTCTTCCTCGTCAGACTCGTCAGAAGAGATTTGCTTGGCTTTGCCTCTGGTGGTGACACCGGCGGCCTTCTTAGGTGCTGCCGCCTTCTTGGCTGCCGCCTTTCCCTTGCCCTTTCCCTTCTTGGGAGGCTCCTCATCGGATTCCTCCTCGTCATCTTCAGAGCTCGACGTGGTGGCGTCCGAGTTTGGCTCCCTGATGCCGTGGATGGTCGGGAGAATCTTGGGCGGGGCCTTGAGAACGGTTCGCTCGACGACGGTATCCTGAGCTGCGACGGCTGCCTTGGCTGCGGCTTTGGCGGCGGCCGTTGTCAAAGCCTGAGTTTTGACAGGCCTGGGGGGTTCGGCAGCTTTGGCGGCGGTGGTGCCCTTGGTTGCGCCGCCCTTGGTTGCAGCTTTCTTTGCCATTGGTGGTGCAGGCTCCTCTTCCTCCTCCTCTTCCGACTCATGAAGGACATCAGGAAACTTTACAACCTCGATAGGCTCAGGCCAGAGCGAGATGTCAAGCGGGTCGGCGGCTGTGGTTGTCTTGTTAGTCGGTGTCTTTGCTGGAAGCTGAAGAAGGACAACGAGAGCGAGGAACACTTACCAACATCAGAAAGCTCAGACTCTTCCGAATGGTCCTTCGGAGGCTTATAACTAGGATCCTCCGACTGAAACAGCGCCAGCTTCTTCTTGCCTCCCTTGCCCGCAGGTCTGAACGAGACCTTAGGCTTCTTGGGCTCCTGCGGCTCTGCCGCCACCGTCTTGGCCTTTTTGGTAGCTGATGGGCCTTCCTCAGGTTCATCATCTGGACGTTTTCTGTTAGGCATTGCTCGATCCAAAAGTAGGTACAGTAGTACGTAAGAGTGCTGAGGAAGAGAGGAAAAAACTTACCAGACATGAACTCAGAAGAATGGTCTGACAGATCCCAGCTCCAAGTAGGTTGATATGTCGGATCGCTAGACGTGAAAGGAGCACGCTTGCGCTTGCCACTTGGTCTGTTTTTGTGAAAAACGAATTGTTAGTAACAAAGCTCTCAAACAACACCACACGGATAGACAACAGACAAATAAAGGGCAAAATGCAAAACTCACCGTTTACCAGCCTTCTTGGCAGCCTTCGCAGCCCGCTCGTCCTCCGACGACAGAATCGACAAATCACTCCCGATCATATCCTCATCCTCTTCTTCTTCTTGTTCAGGCTCCGCCTCCTCCACCACATCCGCAAACCTCGCCGTCTTCTTTGCGGCCTTCTTCGCCGCAGTCTTCGCCGCGGTCTTCGCAGCAGGAACCACCGTCCCGCCCGTAAAAGTCAAATCCGTCGCTCCCTTCACGCCAACCATCTCGCCCCTTCTGGCCTTCAACGGCTTCCTCTTCTCGCCCACACCCGCCGCATTTCCCAACCACTGCTTAAGCGGGATCACGCCTGGAGGCACATCCACCCTGGCCGTCTTGGCGTCCCTGGGGATCCCATAGTAATAAGCCTTGTGGCTAACAGAATGCAGCGGTCCAAACGTCCGCTTATCATCTTCGGGCTTCGCAACGCACGAATCAATGTGTCGCTGCGCTTCCACCAGGTGGATACTCTTGCCGTCTTCCGACAGTGCCATCTCCAGGCCACACCACGGACAAAAGCGGACGTTGAAAGAGGAGCCGTTGCAATCTTTCCCACCGCCGCCGCCGCTGCAGTGGCCGCGGCAGAAATGCGCGTGTTTCTCCCGATCCGCGACGTCGAGGTTGCGCATCTCGAGCCCGCACTGTCCGCAGAAAGCGGACTTGTAACCCGTTCCGAAGCCGCGCGCAACTTCCGGGTGTTTGTGCGCCTTGGCTGAGGCGGCATCTTCGACGTGGATACGCTCACCGCAGACCGTGCAGGCACGCCACGGGTGGACCTCGTGGTGGGAGGCACCCGGGTAGCAAACGAGGTCATGGTGGAAGCGGTCGAGCTTGGAGGCCAACACGGAATGGTCGCGGCCGCAGCGGCAGCAGAAACCCCAGGTGAGCTCACGGTGGAATTGGAAGGGGTTGGGATGGTCGTTGTTGGCTCCGGCCGGGTCGATGGGGCGGCTGGTGGCGAGAGCTCCCAAGATGTCGGCGTGCTTGGAGGCAAAGTGCTGGAAGCGCTGGGCGACGGTCCAGTGTTGATACAATGGGTCGCCGCAGAAGTTGCACTTCTCGGCCGTGTGGGCGTCTTTGATGTGACGCGCCAACAGGGTGTGTCTGTCCTTGTAGGGGAAGGCGGCGTCGCAGCCGGCGAACTGACACTTTACCATGCGTTCGAGCATGATGCTCTGGATCTCGCTGAACTTCCCCTGGAGGTAGCGGGTCTCGCTGGGCGTGAGAACGCTGTTGGCGAGACGCGGGATGCTGTCCTTCTTGATGTCCAGGAGTTGGTCAATGGGAGGCTTGTGGACAGGAATGCCCTTGACAAAGTCCACGGTGAGCGGGTTGGCGTAGCTGAATTCTCGGAGGAATCGACCCTTTTCGCTCGGGTCCATGGCGTTGAGATCCAGTTTTCTAGAGGCGGCGAAGACGCCCGTGTCGGTGGGACGCGGAGGTGGCAAGTTGTTGGTAAAACTAATTGGATTCGGGTCAATTGCAACCTCCTCTACTCCTGGTGTCCGCTCTGTTGTCCGCAATTGCTGAGAAGCAGTAGTACCAGGGGCTGGCTGAGGCTGGCGATCTTCTGGCTTGAGCGTCCTCAACAGGCCATGACTCCAGGGGACGTCTTCAGCCCAAAGCTGATAGTCACGACCATAGCGAAGGGTGTTCGTGCTGGCGGGAACTTCATCTTGGTCAGCCAAGCTGGCGAAGAGGTCAATTGTGTCCGTCTGGTAGATATCACGGTATCCAAACGGCTGGGCGAGGATATCACCAAACACTGTCACAACGTTAGCAAACAGCTCATAATCACAACTCTTGACAGAGATACTCACAACCAAGCTGATTCTGATAAACCTGCACCACCAGCTCCGGCCAAACAATCATGTCCCGCATCTGAATCCACTCTACCTCGGTGGTAGTAGGCGACACGACCAACATGGGCGCGCCGTCGATCTGGTTCTGCGAGAGTCTCACCCTCGAGGTCTCAACGTCATAATCAACCGAGAACCGTCCAGGCGACCACAACGCCCCAATCAGGTCCCGGAAATCATCAAGGGTGGTCTCTCTGGGGTTCCAATCCAACATGTGCTCGTGATCCTCCTCGCAGACCAGCGCATACTCCCGATACACCGGCTGCAGCGTGATAAACTGCGGGTACATATCGACTCCGTTCCTAGCCGGCCTGACCCCCGGCTTCTCAATGAGCCACTTATGCCACTGGTCGAGCAGCTCAGCGACGCGCTGCACGGCAGACTTGTCCAGCTTGCCGTTGGAGTCGACGGGGATGACCATATCGCTCTGTGCCCTCCCTTTGGCAAGAAAGGTTTCGCCGGGCATGTGGACTTCGATGAAATCGAGGTCCTGTAGCTGTTCTGTGCCGAGGCCGGTCTCGATCATGTTGCGGATCTTGGCGTAAACTACTTTTGAATCACTGAGCTTGGAGTGCAAGAGTGCGACCTCCTGGCCGTACTCGTACGACACGCCGGGCACGAACATGTGCCACCGGTCGATGTGGCCGCTGGGCGACTCGGAGGTATACGCCTGCAGCACGATCGGCGCACCCCTTGATTCCTGGTAGGCTTGCAGGATACACTTCCACTGATTGAAGTCGAAGGTCAACCCGCCGTAGGTGCCCAAGTCAGCGTCGTAGCTGATATAGGCGTCGGGGATGTAGGGGTGGCCGGGACGGTTGGGGATGCGGCCGGCGCACAGGACGCGGGAGGCTTGTGCCATCCAGGGAGCAAATTCGTTGGTGTGTACGTCCGCCTCCGTAACGTCTCCAGAGATGGGCATGCGGAGGTAGGCGACGTCCGGACGGTTCATCTCCGGCAGGCCGTTCCACTCGAGCACCAGCTTGGCGACGTTGTGAGTTTCGGTCGGCTCCCAACTATCGTAGGGCACGGGATCTCTGGGACCGGCGACGAAAAGCACCTTTTGGTGAGCCACAGGCGATCCGTTGGTGTCATTGCCCAGCGAGCCAAGGTGGCTGATGACCCAGCTCCAAGCGAGGTGATCGTTGCCGTAGTCACCGGGTCCCTTGCATGCGACATCAATAGTGTTCCTGTTGTTTCGCTGGAAGGCTTCCTTTTGGGCTCGGGTCTTGTACTCCTTGTTTCTGTCAAACACATAGAGTTTGTAAGAGGCACCGGCTCGGATGCCGAAGCCCAAAAGACGATCGACAGCGTCAACAAAGGTGTTGAGCATGTCGATACGGAACCAGACGATGCCCTGGTAACCGTAGAGAGGGACCCACAGTTTCTCGACACCACCTCTCTCGCTTTCAAGTCGGCTCTTGAGGCCATCCTTGTGGTTGTCTGTCTGCGCGAAAGCGTGGAAGGCCTCGGTGGAAAGGCGCCACTTGCCATTGTCAATTCCTTTGAAGACTTCACCGCGGTCCTTGAGAAGTCCTCCGCCGCGGAGAGAGACGAGGGCGTTCTCTAGGGAAGGAATGAGCTCCATGGGCTCATCAAGATCCATAGAGTGTTCCGCTTCCTCATCGACGCCGGCCTCTTCATCTTCGTCATCAAAATCACCGCCACCGCGTAGGCCAAAGTCGGAGTCAAACCTGTCCGGGAAAGTTACATACAAGGCATCAGAGTTGATGTAGTCCCTCTCCGGATTAAGCTGCCTCATCGTGGGAGCCAATGGCGGCAAAGCATTGTACGTCTCCAAGACTGGATCCGGTTCTGTTTCATCAAGTCAACATCACATCCACACCAAGTCCCACAGTGGTTAGTGGTAGACAACTCACCTCTAATAGCATCCTTCTCAAAAACCCTGTTGCCATAGCAATTCAAGAACTGGACGGGATCCTTTCTGGGCCTCATCACCGCATTCCCGTATTCATCATCCACCTCATCATACCCAGGCCCACCGTAAGCACCTCTTTCCCTCGCCTTCATCGTCTGCTGTCTCTTCTCCCACCACCTCCTCGTGTCGCTCTGTTCCCAGCCCATCGGCGCGATAGGTAAGCCAAAGTACAAACAGGTAAGCTTAAACGCTAGGTGGGCTTCCTTTCCCCAACCTTTATCTTCAGTTCTAGCCCATTTTCCTTTCTTGCCGTCCTTGCTACTACCGCTGCTACCCTTACTTGGTGGCTTTTGCCAACCTGGAACCTCTCCCCTAACCAGCTCCTCATACACCTCGCTGTTCCTCCCCTGCAACTGCGCAAGAGCCGGGTTCCGCTCCCAGTCAGCTGGCTGCAACAATTCCCTGTCGTCGGGACTGAAGCGCGTCTGGAGCAGCTCGTTGAGAGTGGAAGTGGGCGAGTTGAGGTGGTTGCGGAAGGAATAAAGGATGGTCTGGAAGGCGTCCGAGGTGGGAGTCACGGTGGGATCGACTCGCCGGATACTGGCGAGGCGGAGTTGGTCGTCGTGTTCTTCCTGGGCCTTCTGCTGGGCAATGGCTGCTTGGCGCTGGTTACGTTTCTGGATGGCGAGCTCCGAGGGGGAGAGTTTGGGGATGGCTGGCCTTTGAAAGTTGAAGGAGGTGAGGTTGGAGGGATCGGTACCAAAGAGACGGGAACCGGTGGAGTTTGTGGGAGCGGATTGGGCGCCCGCAGTAGGGGCAGAGGTGGAGGAGTAGTCGATGGCTTTTAGGATGGACTTGGTAGGCTTTCCGAGGTTGCCTGTTGAGCTGGCTCTAGGCTTGGTGACGCGGTTGGTAGAAGGAGAAGAAGAAGAGTTGACGGATTTGTTGGCGCTCATTGGGCCCTTACTGCTGCCGCCCTTCTTCTTCTGGTTCTGGTCGTTGCGTTGGCCAAAGAAGTTGAGTCCCCAAGGCATGGTCTGCACTGGTTTGGGTTCGGACCAGGGTCTTGTACAGATCTTGTAGATGAGCCTAGCCTAAACACATTAACACTTTTTAATCTGTTGTTGTCGTCGTCGATCAATGGTGAGCGTTGTTAATGAACGACGGCATAGTGTCTCTGATGAATGAAGGAGGGAAAGGAGAGATGAAAGGAAGAAGGGGATAATTCGAAAGAAGAGCCGGAACAATTGAGGGGGGATTGGTGACCGTGGGGGGTAAACAAGACCATTTCAAGGCATCACATCAGACAAAGAGAACTATGGAAGTGGGTGGCCATTGAAGGGTAAGCTGTATTGCTGGTAGTTTCTTCAGGCCATTCCTTTAGCTAGAGGCATGTCCTCTTTGTCTAGGGGGGTCCAATGTCGAGGACGGGAACACTCGAGGGAGACTCGAGTCGCTGCATGCGAACATTGTGAACATGAAGACAAAGAAACAGTTCGACAGGTTGAACCAAGCATTGACGGGCAAGGTGTGTTTTGTTTGCTCCGGAACGGGCAACTGGCCCTGAACCAATCCGTCGGCAAGTTAACAGAACAAAGCCACCATTGTGTCGAGCTCTTGTTGCAACGGGAACGTCGTCGCCGGGGGTTATTATTCGCAACAGTCAGAGCTGACTGTTGTAGACTGTGTAGGGAACGAGGACACTTGTCCGTCTCTCTGTCATCCCCCGGCCGATTGTTAAATGGACTCCCATGGCTGCATGAAGCTGGGACCAAAACTTGGAAAATAAAGAACAGCGAGGGATCAAGGTGTCGTGGGCTGACAATTGGATTCTCTCCAGCTCTGCCGTGGTGTTGATGTTGATGTTGATGTTGAAGAGAGAGAGGAAGAGGTCAATGCACGGATGAAGCTGTGAGGGGACGCAGAGATGGTCTGTGCTTAGCAGCGATAAGATAAGAGAAAGGTGCGCTACCCCTAACCCCTGATCCGGCAGCATCATCAAAAGTGGCAAAGGACATGGGCGCATCACTGCATTCCAGCAAACATCCCAAGCTCCATTATTAGCAGAGAGTAAGGTGAGGTACAAGACATGAAGGGCATCCCAAAATATTGAAGCCCATTTGGCATATAACAAACAAAACCAAATCAGTTCGAGGTTCATAAGTACAGGCATCATACCAAGTAATCACATACGACCATACCCACTGGAAAACGTGGGATCCCGTCCGCTCTCCCATAGATACGCCGGTGAGGGTCAGCTTATGTATGGGAGTTGGAAGGATAATGAAACGGGGTTTTTAATCACGTGATATGGTCAAAAACCCGAACAACCACCTCCCATATCCATAAGGGTTCGCAAGACAGTGAATGGGGAGCCGGCGCTAAAAAGATGAATATAACTGGGCCGATTACGAGACAAGTTGGCCGTCTTGACACTGCGGCTAGCCTGTTAACGTTTGTCAAAGTGCAATATCCGCGGTATAGGTATATAGCACAATTCTCAGTCGCGGCCACAGGTCCCAAAGGAAATGGAAAGTAAGCCATCAATGCATTGTCCGCTCAAGGACACTGGTTATCACAACGCCTTGGTTGTTGACAGCAACTGGCAGCCTAGGCTCTACTGCAATTGGCAGGTTACATTCGGATTTACAGCGCTTCCCGCGCCACGTCCTGCTAATTGGCATACTATTGCCAACCCTATAGACCCCGTGACGGAAAGCCACGACCCTCGCCCAACCCAGGCAATTGGCGTGTAATTGGGAGAAAGTTGCCAGTCATCTTGCGCCTAACAAGGTGACAACGCAGAGCCTTATGCTCCCTCAGACCTTCGAGAAATTACAGTGTTCTAGTTTCTTTTCCTTTCGAGAGAGGAATTCCCTGCACTTTTATAAATTCGATCCATTGAACACCAACCATAGCATCCTCACCACAGT